AACTCAACATCATTCACATCGAGGCACGCATCTCCTTGCCTGGCCTCTCATGACTATGGGGATGCTGCAACAGTCGTAAGTGTGAAAAATGGTCATAAGTCACTTTTTTCAGTGCCATTGTAACTTTGAATGGTCACTCCACACAAGCAAAGTACCAGCAAAGGAGGGGGGAAAAAACTCCAGAGAAGTTCCTGAGACAGGAAGTCTAGGCCTGCCAAGAATGTAATAAGGGTTAACAGAGAGGCAGTTTCTGTAAGCAACACCAGAATGTTTCCTTCCTGCCTTCCTTACAGGATTAGGCCAGTAATTTCTTCTAACAACCAGTTCTCTGAACTGCTTAGAATGTTAACAACCAGTTCTAGCGAATAGGTGCAAACCAGCAGAATCCCACCCCTGAATTGACTCCCTCTTCTTTGGGGCAGCCCCTGAGATATCGGAACACTGCTGTCATGTCTCCTCTAGTCCTGTTTTCATTAAACTAAATATAGTATGTCCAGTTCCTGCAACCGTTCTTCATATGTTTTAGCCTCCAGTCCCCTAATAATCTTTGCTGCTGTTCTCTGCACTCTTTCTAGAGTCTCACCATCTTTTTTACATCGTGGTAACCCAAACTGAATGACTAGGAGGTGAGTGTCCATGTTTCACCGGCGTATGTTGGAGCAGGTAAGACACACCGATCAAAAATATTTCCCTTCAGGCACAGGGTGAGGTTGTTCTTGAAAATTACACTTAAAATGACGCACATATCGAAACGTCTGCAAGAAAACAACCAAGCTCAGGGAGTAACAAGGACCTCATACCACAGTGGTTGAAAGTTTAAGGGAAAATACAGTATATCTTTGAAATCTCCCATAAAATTTATCATGAACTTGAATAAGTAGCTTAGAAAGTTGGTCCAATGTTTTATATTTTAAAAAATCCACAGTGATATATTTTACATTTGCAAGAATAATGTTGATAAGGTTCCTATTAGTTAGAGTCCTTTTAACAGCCAGGTTAATCATATATTCAGTTCAGAGCTCTATTTTTTAAGGGCCTTATGAAGTTTCCATTTGTCTCGGAAAGCTCCATTTCTCCAACTTCCCGATAAAAACAAGAGAACAAGAATCAGGCAAGTTGTGTTTGGATGATATTTCATGTTTTCCAACATGCAATCGACTCTCCATGACAACTTGCCGATGCATCCCCTAACTTTACAAATTGTAGTTCAGCGGGTCTCAAAATGATTGCAGGCTGATACTGTAGTATTTCATCGGCTTTAATCCATCCTTCTTTAGTAACTTTATCTGAAAAAGAGATCACTGACTATAGAGAAATAGTTTCATGGTGAATACATGAGCTGAAAAAGAAAGGGAAGAAAAAAAAAACCCCAGGCTTTATTCTTCTGATTTTACTCCTTCATTTTAAGGCATCTCTACTATCCTTTTTCTTACAATCAATTCCACGTTAGAACAAAAATAAAAAATAAAAGTGCCCAGTTCTCACAATGTCCAGAATTACAAGGAGGAAATTCTTTTGGAAGGGATCTCAATGTCTTTATTTGTGAATTCTGCTCCAGAATTAATCTTCTGGTCATCCATCTGCTTGAATCTCTAAGCTTTTAAAAACCAACGTAGAGTTCTGCAAACGTTTTGCTATTTAGCGGAGAAATATGGATGTCCACGCCTCTCAACACATGAGCAGCAAAAGTTTTAACATTTATTTTATCCATATTTACTTTATTTGTTAAAACAAATGTGTTTATTTAAATGGAGATGGCCACCCATTCGTTCTCCACCATTCTGGCTGGCTTACAAAAATAGATCCTTTTAGTGATCGTCCTAAGCCACAACGTCACAGAAGAAAGTGACTTGTGACCCTTTCTCACACTTATGATGATAAGTACCATCCCAGTAGTCACGCGATCAAAATTCAGACGTTTGGCAACTGACTCACTGATTCACTTAACAGCTGTGGCAAGACAGGTTGTTAAACAGGGTAAAACTCACTTGTTTCGCTGAGCAACATCAATTTTGAGCTCAGTTGTGCTTGTAAGTTGAGGAGTACCCTGTACACAAAATATTTAGGCCCATATAACACTACTCCCCCTTAGACAGATTACTACAGTATCTAAATGTCCAAGGCAGTGGTGGGATTTTACCAGTTCGGACCAGTTCTATAGAACCGGTTGTTACAATTCTGTGCAGTTCGGAGAACTGGCAAATCGCACTACTGGTTGGCCCCTCCCCTCCTCACCCACCAGATCCAGGAGGCTTCCCTGAGGCCTAGTCAGGGGTGGTATTCAGGGGGTTGAGGGAGGGAGAAGTGGCCTGAGAGCAGAGCTGAACCTTCCTTAGGATTGAAGCATCTATTTTTCGGTGCAGACTCAGGCAGCGGATTGCAGAAAGGTAGATCTCTGAGTGAATCTGTGATTCTGCAAGCAGCTCAATCTGCCTGCCTGCCTGCTTTGCTTTGCCTGATTTTGGGTAAAAGTTGCTCTTTTTAAAAAAATAAAAAAATTCAATCTTTACATATATATTTACAATATTTACATACAAGCCACGCCCAGCCAGTCACATGACCACCAGACCACACTCACAAATTAGGCCATGCCCACAGAACCGGTTGTTAAGAAATTTGAATCCCACCCCGGGTCCAAGGGTTATTTTTCAAGTAGCGTGAAGTATGCCTAATGTATAAAGCTTCACTCTGAAGATGGTATGATTAGAGTGAAGACCAGCCTACTGTACAGCTGGGTGGGTGGGTGTTTTTCATTCTAGTTGAAATTGCCAGGATGTTTTATTTTCCTATAGACCTCAGTCCCTTAATCCTGGCTGCTAACTTTGAATCAACTTGGAGAAGAACCAATTTATCAAAGGCTGCAGAGTTATGGCTCTGCACACAATGTCTGACTTGTCTGTGAACAGGTGGTGTCAAGCCTTAAACAATGCATTATGGATGTAGAACAGCAGTGGGATTTGTCATCTCAGTCCATCCATATATATATGGATTAGCCGATCTGATTTTTTTTTAGACCAGCAAGGTATTTAAACCAAATAACCATCCCTAAATTGAGGACTAATATTTCACTTTCAACAGCTGCCCTTGAAGAAAAACTCAGAAAAACATCTTATTCTTCAAGATTCTGTCCTTGTGGCTTACAGAAGTGCTGAAAATACAATCCATTGTAATGTTGCACTACCCAATTTATAAAAAGGTATGGCTATGTTTTATTACGCCTACCTATTAATTAAATTTCTGGGTCAATCAGACGTTACATACAGTTGCTGTTAGCTGACCAATATGATTCAGTTTCTGTGTGTCCAGTCTATAAAATCTGTTATAACCAACCCTACTAATTATTTATTGTTGTTTACTTTGATCAAGTTTCCATCATTTCTTTAAGCAAAATGTCGCCATTGACCTTAGTAATGGACAGAAAGCAACCCATAAGTACAAAACCATTGTGAGTTTGGGAAAGAAAGTATCATGAAGAGAAAATTAGAGTACATAAAATTTTGTTCTGCGGGAATCACAGCAGATTCAATTCCCCAATTTGCTGAGCCAAAACGTTGACATTGACTATTGTTTCAGATTGTGGAATCACTCTGATTCAACAATTCAGACATTTTCATTTGGATTCAAGGGCGTCTCCATTCAAACCATATAGTAGTTCCATTTGAAAATTCTCTGCACAGGAAATGATGATGGTGATGATGACTTAAAAATTCATTTCCAAAGGCTGATTCAATCAATTTGCCTTCCTTTACAACTCCTGGTGTAATTTTGAATCAAAATGATATGTCCCAAAGCTCCAACAAAGATGTTCTTCCATATAAAAACATATAGCTGGTGGAATTGAGTATGTCTAGTTTAATGAAAAGAAGGACAGGGGTGACACAATAGCAGTCTTCCAATATCTCAGGGGCTGCCCCAAAGAAGAGGGAGTCAAGCTGTGCTCCAAAGCACCTGAAGGTAGGACAAGAAACAATGGATAGAAACCTATGAAGTAAAAAAGCAGCCTGGAATTAAGGAGAAATTTCTTGACAATTAGAACAATTAATCAGTGGGACAACTTGCCTCCAGAAGTTGTGAATGCTCCAACACTGGAAATTTTTTAAAAGATGTTGGATAACCATTTGTCTGAAGTGGTGTAGGGTTTCCTGCCTAAGCAGGGGGTTGGACTAGAAGACCTCCAAGGTCCCTTCCAACTCTATTATTCTATATGCCAGGACACAGAGGCGTTATTCATAGCCCTGGGATATCTAAATATGTACCTCAATGGGGTTTCATTGTTTGACGAAATACTTGGTGGGAACTTCAGGAGTAAAGAGGGTGAGAAAGCCAATGGCTGCTGAGTAAGCACCACTGCTCTTCTCATACTGAAAAATAGTCCAGATTTGGGCATCTGGACCATTGGTTGTCACTTGAGGTCCATCAAAAATTAGAAATCAAATATAAATAAGTGTACAACATGCATTACAGTACAACTGCATTGCTTTTATTTTGAAGACAACTGCTATTTTTCCCCCCAAATTACGCCTTTGCCTTCACAGCTCTCTTGATCTGGCCCTTCACAACAGTCCCAGTTTCTCATGTGGTGGCTTGGAAATATTAATTGTCCACCCCGCCATAGATGAAACTAGCAATACCAATAGCCCTTAAACTTATATACAGCTTCACAGTGCTTCACAGCCCTCTCTAAGCAGTTTGCAGAGTCAGCATAATTGCCCCCAACAATCTGGGTCCTCGTTTTACCCACCTTGGAAGGATGGAAGGCCGAGTCAACCTTGAGCCTGGTGAGATTCGAACTGCCAAATTGCAGGCAGCCGGCAGTCAGCAGAAGTAGCTTGCAATACTGCCCTCTGACCACTGTGCCGCCGTGGCTCTTAAGAAATTAAGTGGGGTGAGGGTGACCCCATGAACTATTTTGGTCACTGTTGAAATACCAGTTTGAGCAAGAACCCCTTCAACCCTTGGATTGTTTGGTTATACAGCAGACTCAGCTGTGCTTATGATTTATCAGTACCATAAATACGCAGGTAAAATGATCTATATCCACTGAGAACACACCCAAGGCTATTAACATGCCTGGAATTTTAAAGTTTGCTGCAGATCTCCAGGCAGACAAGAATCAATCCCCAAGCATGGGCAAACAACCTCTGTCCCCAGGATTCAAAGGATCACTCCGTCAGAAAAGAGATTACGCAAAGAAGAGCCTTGTTAAACTCATAAAATGCCATCTTAATGGCTACCAACAAGCACAAATCTACGAAACTATCTTAAGATTGCTAGACCCTGCCTTTTTTTAAATAAAGGAGCTTACAAATAGTCTTTGAATTACAAGTGTTTGTTTAGCCACCATTCTAAGTTACAGCAGCACTGGGGGGGGGGGGTAGCTTGCCACCGGTCCTCACACTAACGACCATTCCTCACACTTTTGGCCATCAAGAGCGTCTGTATACCGCTTAGAGAGGGCTGTAAAAAGCACTGCAAAGCGGTATGTAAGTCTGAGCGCTATTGCTATTGTAATTTAAACCTCACTTTCATCCCCAAATCAACAGGCAAGCAATTTAACCCCGTCTTCAATATTGAGAATCACAAGGGTAACGTTACAATGTTATTTTGTTTTTTCCATATTTGAAACTTTTTAACCTTACACGATGATCAGGGGACCGGAGGCTAAAACATATGAAGAACGGTGGCAGGAACTGAGTATGGGCTAGGGGAGACATGATAGTAGGGTTCCAATATCTCAGGGGCTGCCACAAAGAAGAAGGGGGTCAAGGTATTTCCCCAAAGCACTTAAGGGCAGTGCAAGAAGCAACGGATGGAAACTAATCAAGGAGAGAAGCAACTTAGAACTAAGGAGGAATTTCCTGACAGTGAGGACAATTAATCAGTGGAACAACTTGCCTCCAGAAGTTGTGGATGCTTCAACACTGGAAGTTGTTGGGTGTTTTTTTTTTTAAAAAAGATGTTGGATAACCATTTGTCTGAAGTGGTAAAGGGTTTCCTGCCTAAGCAGGGGGTTGGACTAGAAGACCTCCAAGGTCCCTTCCAACTCCGTTATTCTATTCTATTCTGCATTCTAATCTAATCTAATCTATTCAAAAATTATTACTGATTGTAATGTCAATTTCATTGATTATATTGCACGCTGGCCGGAGCCCCCTCTCGGAGGGAGATGGGAAGGAGAAGAAGTATGAAATATAAATAAATATTTTGGTGTGGAAATGCTTTAGTAGGGGGCAATTGGGTTGACCTAACTGGAGTATTTCAAATTGGGAAGTTGTTTGTGGGTACACTTGGGAGATTCTGCACTGGAGACCTGTGTGTGTGTGTGTGTGTGTGTGTGTGTGTGTTTGCTTGTTTGTTTATTAGATTTGTATTGCTGCCTATTCGCCATGGCTGTTCTTCCCCTCCTGGAATGCCACACAGTTAGTCCTGTGGTGTAGGGTGTCCTGCCTAGGCAGGGGGTTGGACTAGAAGACCTCCAAGGTCCCTTCCAACTCTCTTATTCTACTCTATTCTATTCCTCGACTTACGTCCATAACCAAGCCCAACATTTCAGTTGCAGAGACAGCTGTTAAGCGAGTTTTGACCCATTCCCATTATATGATCTTTCTTGCCACCCTCGTTAAGTGAATCAGCAGGTCATAAAGGGGGCGGGGGGGGTTGTCATGTGACCCCGGGACACAGCAACCATCATAAATAGGAGTCAGCTGCCAAGCCTCTGTAAACAATAACATCGTGAGACACACACACACACCCCAAATGCTGCAGCCAGAAGTGAGGGAAGTGAGGGGGGCGAGTCCTTTGTTTCAGGGCTGCTGTAACGTTGAAACGGTCCCTAAACGGTTTAAGTGTGACGAGACTCCAGAAAGGGCTTCTCAAAAGAGGCTTGTGGAGGAAGGAAAGGAACGTCTGGATGGCCTTCAGAGCCGGGTGGTGGGGAGCCAGGAGCAGAGAGCGCGTGCGCGAGCCCAAATTGACCGCAGCTGTCGAGAAGGCGCGGCCCCTTCGGGCGCGCGCGCGGGGTGGGGGTGGGGCTCCTTTTTCTCTCCCTTCGGCGCCTTTTCCTCGCGCCCCGCAGGTTGAACCCCGCGAGCAAGGGAGGAAGCGGGGGGGGGGAGGGAAAGGGCGGTAGGGGAGGGCGCGGGAGAGGCGTGGAAAAGCGCGGCTGAGGGAAAAGAGGGCGGCGCCCAGGGAAAGTTTGGGAGCGCACGTGCGCTTCGGGAGCCGCCACAGGCGGCTGAGGAGGAGGAAAGGGAGAGGAAAGGAGGAGAGGAAGAGAAGGAGGAGGACGAGAGGAGAGGAGAAGGAAAGGAGAGGAAAGGAGGAGGAGGAAAGGAGGAGGACGAGAGGAGAGAAGGAGAGGAAGAAGAGGAAAGGAGGAGAGGAGAAGGAGGAAAGGAAGAGGAAAGGAGGAGAGGAAGAGGAGGAGAGGAAGAGGAGGAAAGGACGAGAACGAGAGGAGAGAAGAACGAAAGGAGAGGAAGAAGAGGAAAGGAGGAGAGGAGAAGGAGGAAATGGAGAGGAGGAGGGAGGAGGAAGAGGTGGAAGAGGAAAGGTGCAAAAGAGGAGAAGAGGAGAGGAGGAGGAAAGGAGGAGAAGAAGAGGAGGAAAGGAGGACGACGAGAGGAGAGAAGAACGAAAGGAGAGGAAAAGGAGGAAAGGAGAAGGAGGAAAGAGGAAAGGCAGAGGAAAGGAGGAGAGGAAGAGAAGGAGGAAAAGAGGAGGACGAGAGGAAGAGGAGAAGGAAAGGGGGAGAACGAGAGGAGGAAATGGAGAGGAGGACGGGGAGGTGGAAGAGGAAAGGTGCAAAAGAGAAGGAGGAAAGGAAGAGAGGAAAGGCAGAAGGCGTAAAGGAGGAGGAGGCGGAGGAGGAGGCGAGGCCAGGAGGCTGAGCGGGTCCGCAGGGCAGAGCGGGCCGGGCGAAGGCACTTACTTGCGTCCCGTCCACCAGCCGCCCGGCCATGGCTGCGCTTGTCGGAGCGGCCGGTGGGGCAGGCGGGGCGGGGCGAGGGGCGCGGCCGGCCAGCTGCGCGTGGCCTCCCGGCTGAAGCCCCTGCGGGATGCCGCTTCCTGAAGGCGGTCAGCTGATCGGCAGGCGGAAGAGCCGCGGCCGGCGCTAGGCGGGCCAGCACTGCACTTCGCGACGGGCGGGGGGGGGGGGGGGGGGCGGCGGGGGGGGGGGGGGGGGGCGGGGGCCGGGGGGGCCCGCCCAGGCGCCGCGGGGGGGGGCGGGGACGGTGGGGCCGCCCCTGCCCCCCCCCCCCCCCCACCCGCCTCTCAAAACTTTTCAAAAGTTGGTGGCTGCCAATCAGAAGAGAGGACCAGGGATGGTCCTTTCAATGACATGGCTAGTCCTCGACTTACAATGGCTCATTTAGTGACCGTTCCAAGCTACAACGGCACTGAGAAAAGGGACTTAAGACCGTTTTTCACACTTAACGACCGTTTTGGGTTTTTTTTGGCACTTAGGACCATTTTTCCCACTTAACGACCATTGCAGTATCCTCAGGGTTCCATGATCAATATTTGGTCGCTTGGCTATTGACTCACATTTATGACGGTTGCAGTGTCCCGGAGGAGGGGCAATGGGGGCAAAAAAAAAAAAAACCTCACTGGACAAACGTCTCACTTAACAACCGAAAGGTTGTGGCCGTTCGTTTGAGGACTTACCTGTATTGCAAAGAGGAGGAAGCACAACTGGCAGCTGCTTTTTAACCCGAAACTCGTCTCAAAACTCACCTGCCAGAGGGCTCACGATCCACCTGTCCAAAGGGGCAACTTTGTAAGAGCTCAGGGAACTGTAATGATGGTATCAGGCACCGTCTGTGGGGATGAAGGCTTGCAAAAGCCCTGAGCTGGGGTAAAGGAGGAGGAGGAGGAGGAAAGGAAGAGGAGAAGAACAGAAGGAGGAAAGGAAAAAGGAGGAAGAGAAGGAGGAAAGGAAAAAGGAAAAGGAGGAAAGGAAGAAGAGAGGAAGAAAAAAAGGAAAGGAGAAGGAGGAAAGGAAGGGGGAAAGGAACTCACCAGGTTGTGAAAAAAATAGGAAAAAATGCGAATTATGTATGTTCGTCACATTTATAAAGTAATAAAAGCAGGATAAAAATCAAATAAAAAATAAACTACATGGACGCTCCTGGAAATGAAACTGGATTGAACAAAGTTGTACCTTTCCTCATTTGGCATCTCAAAACATTAAAACCAAGGCCATCCAACAAGCCCCGGTTATGTAAAAAATATCATGTTCCTCTCATGTGACACATTTCTTCTTTTTTTCTTTTTCTTTTTTGCAATGTGACGGGAGGGAAGAAACCACTGAAACAATTGTTGCAATCAAAACTCTTGGTTTTGTCCATCAACAACCACCCATTCCCAGCTAAGGTAGTATCCCCAACAGACTGCACCAGTTCAAAAATGGGTATCCGATCTTTATTAATTGACTTCTGACTAAGCCGTAGTCTATTTGAAAATGTTCAGTAAATCGGGCCATTTCTTTACAACCTTGTTGAATCTGCATCCGATTATAAGAATCCCATCTCCTGAACTGCCACCATTTTAGAAGATCTTTTAAGAGGAAAGGTGAGTTGATGTGACTTTGTTGTTGCCTCTCATAGAATCCAAGTGGCATTTTTAGGTGCGTCCAGATGCCTGTAGTTGTGAGATATACAAGGTCGCAGGACCAACTAAAAATTATCCTAAATGCCTTGATAATCCAGCAAGAAGATATGTCATATTACAACCTCCCAGAAAGCAAGCAGACCTGGATTCTGTCA